CCTCAAAACTCGCTCGAGCGCAAGAAACCTCGCTTGAGCGAAGAAGCAAATTACACAAGACTCGCTCGAGTGCAAGAAGTTTCACTTGAACGAAGAAGTCCAAATCTGGGTAGCAACAATCTAGACCGACTAGCAACCAACCTGTTCCAAACACGCCCAACATATTCCAAAACTCAAACTCAAAGAGTTAAAGGAGAAAAACAAGACATGGATTAATACTAAGCCACGAAACCTAAGTCCGGAATACAATTAAGGTCGGGGTAAAACCGGGATCACTATAGTGATTTTGTTTTTTTAATTGATTGTGTTTTTTTACACTCTATTTTGATTACATGATGAGAAAAAAATTTGTTTGGATTATGACAATCTCTGTGTTTTTTGAAAAAAAAATGGATTGTATTCATTAGGTTCTTATAAAGTACCTACTATTGATGATGATTAGATTGTATTTTATCTAGAAAAAAAAAAATTGTAATTGGGTTTTTTTTTTTTTTTTAAAGAAAATGATTGTGCTTTTTTAACTATCAATTGACTTAATTTGTGATTAGAAATTATTGTATTTCTTAACTATCAATTATTTGTGATTGGCCAATTTTTTTAATTACTTTATTTATTTATTTATTTTTTTGTTATATTTATTTATTATTATTATGAGAAAAAATGTGATTGTGTTTTTTTACGCTTCATTTTGATTACACGGTGATTTTATTTTTTAACTAATTGTGTTTTTTTAAACTCCATTTCGATCACATGATGAGAAATTTTTTTTGTTTGGGTTGTGATAATCTCTGTGCTTTTAAAAATAAAAACAAAATAGATTGTATTCATTAGGTTCACATAAATTATCCACTTTTAATGATGATTAGATTATTTTTGGTCTTGCAAAAGAAAAATTGTAATTGGGTCTTTAACTCATCGTGTTTTGTGGAAAAAAAAATAATTGTGTTTCTTAACTATCAATTGACTTAATTTGTGATTGAATTTTTTTATACTCCATTTTGATCACACTGTGATTTTATTTTTTAACTGATTGTGTTTTTTTACATTCTATTTTGATTACATGATGAGAAAAAAAATTTGTTTGGGTTGTGACAATCTGTGTGTTTTTTAAAAACTTACTCAGTCAAGTAATAGATTGTGCATCGTGCATGACTTTTGTTTTAAATATAGATTGGTTTGAAGAACGTCTGTAACTTTTAGAAGATAATATATATATATATATATATAATATGTAAGTATAACAATTTTACTTTATAACATTTTATAAATACATAATATATATGTTGTTCATCAATTATAATAATAACTATCATATTGACAATGCAGGAATACTGATAGAAGACCCACAACAATTTAAATTTTAGTTATAATATATTTTATTTATTTAGTGAATTTCGTACAAATGTAATAAATTTTTATTTTTCTTACTTTAATTTTGAAATGTCAACATTTTCTTTCAAAATTATGTATATTTTATGCTAACAATTTAAAAATATGTTTGACATAACTATAAATAATTTTTTTAAATCTAATTCCGTGCATAGCACGAGTAATATGCTAGTTTATTAAATATTTAAATAAAGAAATGTTTATTTATAATTCTCTTTTCGCCTTCCCATGTTCCACTTAGCCTAAATTATTATTATTTTTATATTTCAATAAGTCTTATGAGTGACATAGTTACCAAAATACCCCTAATAATAATAGGGTGAAGCGCACATTAGTATTCACATTGACAGTGTGAATGTTTCGTGATGTGAACATTCACACTGTCAAATATGAATGTTCACATCACTAAATTGCTAAGGGTTAAAAAAATATTTATGTAACGCCCTGAAATAACTCATAAATCCAACCAAGAACAAATATGAATAACAACATGAATCCGAGTGTAATGTTCTTTCATTTTATAGAGTTAATAGTACAAAAGAGTTTAACATAAGTAAATACCCTATATGCTTACATCTTTCCAAATCATGGGTTAGTTACAACAAAAGTGAAACTATCTCAATACAAATAAAGCCTTTGGCGATACAAAAAAAAAAAAAAAAAAAAAAAAAAAAAAAAAAAAAAAGAAAAAAAAAAAGGAAGCTTTTGCTCCAAAGTCCCTTCAAGCTATTGCCTTGGCGGAGGCATATCACTAGCACCTGAAAATGGTTTTTCCCAAGTAAGGTGAGCCAAAGCTCAGTAGAAACAAATTAACATAATATATAGATCTTAACAAAGATATAAGTATGAAATGCATATATAATGCCCGTAATAAAATCATCAGTATTCTACAGAATTATGATATGCTGAGTTCTATATCTCAATTCATTTCAAGTCAGTTCATTTCATCTAAATTCATGAGTCACATTTATTATTATTTGGACAACCCAAATAAGACTACAACTCAGTGGTTCACAATTCAAGACAATCCTTATCCGACCACTTCAATTTGTCATTTTACAGAAATTTCATCTGCGAGATTGGCACCCATGTATACACAATACTTTCAGGACTTTCACTCTGGACACACATGCCAACTTAATTCAATGGAGTCCATCCCCTATCTTCTCCCAAACATGGAGTACATCCTCTTTCTCCTCCCAAATATCATACATATACAATGTGGGTGTTTGGGAAGTATGTTTTTTTTTGTAAGTTTTTTTAGTTGTAGGATATTATTGAAGAATTTTTTTTTTTTTTTTTGTATTTGGGAAGATAGTTGGATTTTTTTGTGATTGAATGTGATGTTTGTCAGAGAAAAAGTGAAATGATTATGAGGTTTGATGTGATATTTTGTTTGGATTGGTTTTGTAACCAATTTGTCTTTTAGTAGAAAAAAAAAAAAAAAAAACCAAAAAATTTGTTCCCAAACACCGCCAATGTATTGAAACACCATATTCAATGATTAGTTTCAATTTACCTAATTTTCACGCAATTTCTACAATAATCACAGCTATCCTCCACCGATAGCCCAATACAGATATTTCTAAACAGATATTCAATCTCAAGACAGATAATTCATTCAAATTCCTATAAGTGTGAGGCAATACATATCCAACTCCACCGTTTATATCAATATCCCTCCAATTTTACTTTTACAATGCTAATTTCATTCATTTATACAAAATAAATATATGAAGCATTTTAGGGCAAACTTCACTTTTTCTCAAATATCAACTCAAATACCAAAATTAATTATTTTGTCCCAATATAACCTCACTTTCAAACCCCATAACCATTTATATCACATTCACTTAAAAACCCTTTTTTTTTTTAATTTTAAATCCCAAACCCTAAGTTTGTCCAAAACACTTTCAAATCCCACCATAGTTACACAACAACCAATAACTAAGTTAAAAATCATACAAAAGTGTAGAAAATCCCTACCTCAAAGAGAAATGACGAGCAAGACAAAGATGAAACTTCAAAGATGCTAAAACCCAACTTTATTCAAATCAAAATGGAGATCTTGAGATGCTCACTCTTTTTAACAAAGGCAAGTGGGTAGAGCGATCACTAGAACTAGGTGAAAATGTAGAGAGATAGGGTGTTTTAGAGAGAGAAGGTCCTGAGCTAGAGTTTTTAGGAAAAAGAAATATGAAAAATGATGTAAAAAGTCACTTTCGCGATCTGATATACGTACAATCCTCTCGAGCGCAAGAAGTGACGTTCAAGCGTCAAACACAATAAGTTGTTCCGCTCGAGTGCAAGAAGTGATGCTCGAGCGCAGAATACACGGATCCAGTAGTTTTGCAGACAATAGACTAAGGCTCGAGCGTGAGAAAATGTCACTCGAACATATAAGAAACGCTACTCGAGCGTAGAATACACTCTCTTAGTAATTTTGCAGACCTGCAAAAGTATTTAAAGTTTGCAAATCCCGCTTGAGCGCAAGAAGTGCCGTTCGAACGGAGGACCAAAATCCTAGGTAACAAAAGTTTGAAAACTACGTAATCAACCTATTCCAAACATGCTCGATACAATCCAATAGTCAAACTTAAGTAAGAATAAGAGGGAAATGACATGATCAACCATACGAGGCTATGAAACCCAAGTCCGGGATACACAATGGGTCGGGTTTAAATAAAAAACGCTATAATTTATAAGGGTAAAATTACCTATAAAATATATTAAATATAAGAATTAAAATTTAATAGACCAAATTTTTAAATAATAAGACCCATTGAAATAAAATAATATGTTGTGAATTGAAAGCACTTTGTTGCTATTGGCTTTCAATCTTGATCTGCCAATAGTCAATCAAAAAGAGGCCTTACTTGGTGTGCAAAGAATAATTAGCTCAGACTGGGGAGTATATCAGGTATCCAACAGCGCTGCTGGGGCTGGGAATTAAATCAATTAATTGGAATACTGGAAATTGGAAAAAAAAATTCTTAATAAATTTTTCTTAATGTTGTGTTTGGTTGAGGGATTTAGAAAGGGAAAGAAAAAATATGTGTGAAACTAGGTGAAATGTAGGTATGTTTTATTCACATTTCACCTACCGTTTCCATTTCTCTTTCCAAATCCCTCTCCAAATCCCCCAACCAAACACAGCATTAGAGTAAGACATTCCTCGCTTCTCTCCAATTCCAATAACCTGAAAAACACAAACGAACAGTTTTATCTACAAAATTTAAATTGAGGAAGAGTACATTAAGTCAGGTGTGGACCATATTAATTGTAGATGTTTAGTTCAATTCAAATTAATCACAAAATTTTATATATTTTTATATTTTTTAATTATTTAATATAAAATTATAAATATTATTTTTCCATCTATCACAATACAGATACAACATCGCGTAACATCTCCAACCACCACTTGACTCCGCTCGACCTTCATCCCAACTCCCAAGTCTTTCTCCAAGAAATGGATAATCCTCATCCATCATTCACGTGGCGAGCACACAATGGTCACGTGCCGCTCCTTACATTCTTCCTTCCTTGACCATATATATTTGGATCAGCTAAACTGCTTAGCTGGGTGGATCATATTTCACCAAACAAAAATCAAACTAAAATATCATACACATACATACGTACACATACAATTTTTACTTATAGACTCAGCTTCAAAATTTATTTACAAGCCCAACAAAAACTAAAAACAAAATCAAAAATTTCAACAATGATGACATCTCCATCTCCAGCTCCAGCTCCAGCTCCAGCTCCAGCATTCTTCCCCTCCTCCTCATCCCTCAATCACCCCCCCAAATCACTCCTCCCCTATGCGACGTCGTTTCCTCCTCCACTCCTCGCCGTCGACGCCGTTGCTCGGAGAAGATCGTTTCCGCCGCTGGTGCGAGCATCAACGACTGTCGACGCGGCGGCGGTGCTGTCGGAGGAGGAAGAGAAGGCCGAGGCCAAGATCGGAGCTAGGGTTAGGGTTAAGGTTCCATTGAAGGTGTACCATGTTCCCAGAGTTCCGGAGACTGATTTGACTGGAAAAGAAGGGGTTTTGAAACAGTACGTTGTTGTTTGGAAAGGGAAACGAATTTCGGCGAATCTGCCTTTCAAGGTTGAGTTCTTTGCAGATGTGGAAGGCCGAGGAAAGGTCAAGTTCTTCGCGCATCTCAAGGAAGATGAGTTTGAGTACCTTGATTGATTGATTGATACACTTACAGTTGAGTTTTTGTTTTGCCTTTGCTTTCAATTAAAATCCTAATGTTGTTGTTGTTATCATGAATGCCACTACTGGAATAATAACTCCGCCGTGCAGGTTTTATTTTGGTAATTGATGTAGATAATTGATCTAATATGTTCAGTGAATTAGTATTTTGGGGGGTTTAGAAAGTTTCAATCAATCAATTGTTTTTGTTTAATTGTCACTATGCTGATGCTGAAGTGCCCAAATGATTGTTTTCCATTGAAGTACCGCTCACGAGTGAATTCGAGTGATCAAACTAAATATGCAAAATTAATGTAGTTTTTTAGTATGCCTATTTAAGTGGGTTAGTATTTTTGGGTTTAGAAAGATCAATAAACCATTTGTTTCCAAATGAAGTTACTCAGTGGATACTAAATGGCCAAAAAAGTTGTGTTATTTAGAAGAGTACTCGCGGTTGAGTTGGATTAGAGTGATCATACTTCTTGGTGAAACACAACCTGCTAAATTAATGCATCATTTGTATGTATATTTTGGTTAGAAATGTTTTGGTGGTTAGTACTGGGCAGTCTTGGAGATGATTATTGATGTGTTGAGGCTGGCTATCAGTAGTATGTCAAGAATTGACAAATGTCACCCGGAGTATTGTTGATTAAGTTTTCAAACTTTCGTTTCAGTTTTAGTGAGTATCTCAAGATTTTTGTTGCTTCTCACATGTTCCAAGCTAATATAGAGCTCAAGCCAGTCATGGTTTTTCTCTAAATGAAGATGAGCAATGTTTCTATTTCTTTCTCTTCTCTCTCTCCTACTTGACCTTAAACCCCTGACCCGAGCCTTGAAAAATCACAATCAAGGCCAACAGGCTAAAGGAGGGCCAGTTTCTGTCTTTTTTTCTACCGTGTATAATGTCTTGTAGTTATCCTCATAAATATATAATGAGTACAAAATGTAAAACAACTGGGAGATAGCCGTAGGGTGAGATAGTGATGATGGTGGATCTGTAGAAGTTTGTTTGGCTTTTAAATAAAAGAACATACTTCGATTTTCTTCTGTAGCTGCTTGTTGCTCAACGTTTGACTTGCTGGATTATGTTGTTTTGTGTCACTTGACTCACTTCCTTTCCTATTCAAATTAGTGTTCAGTTGAGATCAGTTCAACTTTCGTATTTGCTATTTTCATGGACTTGATTATCAATGATCAATACAAGTAACTATGAAACTCAAGTGTCAAGTACAGAGCAAGATGGATGAATATTTGTATATGAAGTCCAACCTTTTTATGGTTTCCGTCCTCCCTGTTTGGATTGAGTTCTAGTTCTCCCATTCTGATCACAATTGTGGCTATACTTCTTGAGGGTGAGTTAATAATATGCAGTTCCACTTCAGTTTGTTGTATTATTATTCCTCTAAATGAGGGGATAAGGTTTGTAAGGTGTATAGTTCTGCAAATTTATTGGGAAAAATGGTACTAAATGGTATGTTCTGTCACTGAACCTTTTGTTGGGCAGATCTGTCATTATTGAATCATATATCCTTGTTTTACTAAACTTATGTGACTTTATTAGCTGTGCGATATATGAATATATATGTTTTATTAATTTATATGTTTGCTTGTAATTAGGTTTTGAAATATGCCCATAAGTTGTACAGGTTTTGTCAAGTTATTGTTATATTAAATGAGATGTCTTATTAATTTTCCAAGTTGGAAGACAAATTTAGGCTTATGGTTTGTTAGTCTCGTAGTGTAGTTTTACGAAACTTCTACGGTGTGTCTTATATCCTAATTCAAGCCTTTTGAGCTTTTTCTAATAAAGTGGATTCTGGATAGAATCCTTTTTATTGCTGAACAACCAAAAAAACGTAAAAAAGGAAAAGGAAAAAGAAAAAGAAAAAGAGGATTCTGAATGGTAGTTTTAGAGTTGATTAATCTTGTTTAGCAAGTTTAGCGCTTAGATTGAATTAGTAAGCCAATGCCTACTTATTTCAGTTTTTCCCTCATGATGGAAATTATTTTGGTTTTCTTTGTAAGTGAAGGAGTTGGACTCAAAACTTGCTTGGAGTGGTAGTTCCGTAGTTGCAATTTACAAACACTTTATTGACTGGTATAATTTGACATTTCATTGTTGAAAGTTTGATTTTTGTTCTCAAAGGGCTGAAGAGATGCTGCAGGTTATGGGTGGTTTACTGTCGTATTATTTTTGTGGAGAACTTTATCAGAGGTAAAAATTTGTTCACATTTAGGAAACTAATGAAACTGAAGAAGTTACCAAAAGGGTGAATTGGAATGTGAGGAAATTGTAGCTGGTAATTACTACCCTTCAACAAAGCAAAATATTTACGCAGAGAGGATTAAAATGTTATTTTTGTTAAATGTGATGTGAGATGAAAATACTAAAAATTTCCCAACGAAATTGTTTTGAGACAAAGCTGTGATCCTTCCTGTGGTTGGAACTGACGGATAAGGTAAGGAAGGATATGCTTGCTCAATTAGTTTATGGTGATAACGAAGTGGATTGCATTTGAGCTAAGATGTAAATATGGTCACTTCAAAAGTTCTAAAAGCAAAAACCTTTAGTGAACATGGAACCATGAAGATGGATATTGTAAGTCTGCCTATGATTAGTCTATATGGAAAGAGAGACTTTCTTATCTTGGATGCAATGAGGAATGGTAACAACTAAATATGTAATGACTTGAAACCTTATTCGCCACAAGGGAAACTTTGATTGTAGTAGTACACCAAATGAAAAGGTTGTGTGATGCAGACAAGCTGATTACACCATTTAGGAGTTATGATAAAGGTCATATTTGTCTGTGTGCCATGGGCATGAGAATGAAATCTGGAGAAAGAGAATCCAAGGCCACTGAATCCTGGATATGAAATTGTAACGAGGTCTCAAGGAGTTTGGCTAGATGTTGTAACACAAAATGAACTTTTAACTCTAATTCTTATGGACAACTGTATATTTAGTTTTTCAAGGACAATTTTTTATGCCAGTAATGAAGATTAGTTAAGGTCACTAGCCATTTTTTCAGAGAGGTTATCACCTAATTTGTAGTGTTTCAGTAAGATTATAACTGATTCGTTTGTGGATAACTAAAGGGTCCTTTCAATCGTCAAACAGAAAAATCATGTATGCCATTGAAATGAACATCATGATGAGAGCATCCTCGTCTTTGGGGACCAGTGTGGCCTCATTGTTCATTATAAGAGGGAGGGAGGGCTGGTGCTGGTGCTGGTGCTTGAGCTGGAGCTATTGTTGTTGCTGTTGCGTCCAAGATCAGAGTAAAGGTTAGGGTATGTTGGAAGGTATATTAAATGCTTTTGAGATTGATTTGGTTGGGATATAAGGGGTTGCTAAAGTTGCATGTTGGGTTTTGGAAATGTGAGTATGTTTCAAGGTTGTTTTGGAAATTTATTTTTTAGTATTTTTTGACTTTTTACGAAAAGACCTTCAAAATAGTCAATAGAAGACGCACATTTTTGGGTTAAAATGTGGTTTTGCCAAAATAGGCCTCAGTTGATTGAACTAGAGTTGGATCTCAGTTCCTTCTATCTTCTTACTATGATGAGGCCACTAAAATTTTACTTTCATATTGATTTAGACAATGCACATAATCTTTGCATGATTATGGATCTTCAAAGTGTTTATCAAATGGATTGGCTGTTTTAGTGGGTAACCTGATACAGTGGTGCTCTGTTAATTGTGTGATGTGCTAGTTAGTTGATGTTTGTTGCCTAAACATTTTGGCTTTAATGAATGAAAAATTACTTCTATCTGAGGTAAACCAGAGTTGTGTTGTGTGTAATGAATTGTTGATTGGATGCAAATCCTAAATTAGAACATTTGATTATTTACCTGTACTAGTAGTCCGGATGTGGGGTCACTGCTTCCCTGCTATACTTTAAATGGCACCCTCTTCACTGTCTAATTTGTTCTTCAAAAGGATAAAAATTATATGAATCCTTTCAAAATTCTCTAATATTTTAAAATTTGTTTCTTTTACTATACTATCCTTACACACACACACACACACACACACACACACATATATATATATATATGTATATATCAGATCTACAAGCACTCTCTCTCTCATCTCAACCTCTCGTCATTGTCTCGCTCTCTTTACCACCGTTCTCCATTAGCGCCACCGACACTCTCCATCGAGGCCACTATCACTTTCTATGGAACTCTTTCTCTACCATGTTATTGCCATCGTCGCTTATCGTGTCCATGACCACAGAGATCATTCACCGTCGTCATCGTCGGAAAATGACGATTTGAGGTTTGCCAACCTCAAATTTGAGATCCTTTACTCTCTCCCTCTAGTTCTAATGTTTTGTGTTCTCTCTGTGTGTGTGTGTCTCTCACCATTTATGAGCTCTCTCCTCTTCTTCTTCTTCTTTCCATGATGATATGTTTTTGAACTCTATCTCCCTATATCTCTCTCTTCTTTTCATGATGCTCTGTTTTTTTAACAGTAAAATTTTACTTTGGTTCATGATGCAGCTCTCTCTTGTAAAATTATGTTCGCAATGTGTTTCAGTAAAATTTATTATGATTCAAAGTAAAATTTTATTATTATTAAGCAAATCAACATGTCATTAACCAAAATCAAATTTTGTTGTTACAAAAAACAGAGTACATACTAAATGAACGAACAAAAGATAAATTTTATTTTTATATCTATGAACAAACAAACAAAAAATATTGATTTTTCATTATAATCTCTCGCTTCTTCCTTTTTCTATCAAATTTGAGTTTATTTATCTAAGATTTGAAGTTATTGATCTCAAATCTGAGTTCGTAGGTATCAAGTCTGAGATAGTAGTAGTTTGACAGTAAAAATGGTGGTTGCCGGCTGATGGTGACGATGAGTGACGCCGGTCGATAATGAAGATGGTGGAGTCGCCGAACAACCATCGGCTATAGAGTTGGTGGGAAGAGAGAGAGAGAGAGAGAGAGTGCGTGCATGCTGTAAAAGAAAGAGATAGTATAATGCTCAAATAAAATACTTAAATAATAAATTGTGTTCGTCATACATGACTTTATAATTATGAGGGAATTTTTGAAAGTATTATTATTTTTTTTGGGGTCCTTTTAACAAGAAAAAGAAACTAAGAGGGATTTATGGTCAAATTCTGCCCGCCCTCCTTTTTTTGCTTTCTATCTAAATTATGTTCTCACAGTGCCGTTTGCTTGCTTTAAAAAAT